CTCCTTTCCCCTCCTCCTCCTCCTCCTCTTCCTCCTCCTCCTCCTCCTCTTCCTCCTCCTCTTCCTCCTCCGCCTGATGCCCTGGCCCTCAGCCTTCCACCAGCGAGGCCTCCCCTAGGAACCCTGCAGGCACCACCTGCTTCCCGCCCATGCACCTTCCTCGCCATACACTAACCAGTTCTCTGATACGATAGGATTTCCTCTTTATTTTGTCTCCCCAGTTCTCCCTGTGAGCAAGAATTTGTCTGCCTTGCCCTGGCTGGTGTGGCTCAGTGGATAGAGCATCGACCTGTGGTCTGAAGGGTCCTGGGTTCAGTTCCTGGTCAGGGCACATGCCCGGGTTGCAGGCTGGATCCCCAGTAGGGGGCGTGCAGGAGGCAGCCACCAATGATTCTCATCATCAGTGTTTCTATCTCTCTCTTCCTCTCTAAAATCAATAAAAATATATTTTAAGAAAAGAACCTACACTAATAAAAGAGAAAAATGCTAATTGACAGTACCTTCGCTATGCCCACAGCCAATCAGAGGGAGTATGCAAATTAACCCAACAAAGATGTGGTTAATTTGCATATGCTGAGGGAAGGAGGAGTGAAGACTGAAGACAGCTTAGAAGGAAAAGGGAGGGAAAGCGGGGCGGTCCAGGGCGGGCCGGGGCAGGGTGGCAGCGGTGGCCACTTGCAGGAATCTTCCTGCAAACAGGCTCCTGGTAAATACACAGGTATGCAAACAGAAAACGTGTCTGGTGCATGCTCCTCCTCTCGCCCAGAGCAGGGCTCAGGGGTGCGTGTGGGCGGCGGGCGCGCGGTCTGGTCTGTCCGGATGAAGCTCCATTGGCCGGAGAAGCCTGAGGAGCGGAGCCAGTGCGAGCTCCTCCTCAGCTGTGCCCAGGGACGTGGTGCCCTCCCCTGCCTTCCGGACAGGCCGGGCACAGAGGGGTGACCTCCGGAGAGGAAGAGGGGCACCACAGACTGAGTCCGGGCTCAGAGCAGCACCTGGCCGGGTCCCAGCCACCAGAGCGCCCGTGGGTGCCCGCCCGCCCCTCCGCGCCCGCCGTACGCTTATCCACCACTTGGAGGAAGACGGTGGCCTGGTGCTGCAGGTCCTTCTCCTTGGGGTTCTGCACGTGGCAGGTGTAGCGGCCGGTGTCGCCGAAGTCCAGGTCGTGCAGCAGGATGGACAGGTTGTTCTTCTTCTCCTTGGTGGAGCCCTCCAGCGTGATGCGCTCGTCGCCCCGCACCTGCAGCCGGGGCTCCGCCTTCTCGTTCTTCACGGTCCCTTTGAGGAGCTGCAGGCGGAGTGGGGGGTCCTCTCTGTCAGGACATCGCCGCCTCCCGAGCCCCGCCCGCCTCGCGCCGGAGCAGCCTGTGGCCCAGAGCGCCCGCCCGCCCGCCCTCCACAGCCAGCGCTCTGCCCTCCGGCCTGACCTCAGCCCAAAGCCCTGGGCCCCTGGGACGTAGCACAGCGCCTGCCAACGCGACCCCCCCCGCCGCCTCTGCCACCCCAGGTTTGCTGGCACGCCCTCTGTCCTCTGCCCGGTGCCTCCGTGGGGACGGGGTCCACGGTCAGCATCTCGTTCTGTGGAGGCAGCCTCCCACAGTCCCTGGTTCCTCTTTCTGGTCCCGGCGAGATCACAGGGGAGGCCTCGGTAACCCCTCCCAGCCCAGGGGCTCCTACAGCTTCCCTCCCAGCCCCCCGTCTGCCCTGCTTCCCAGCCCCTCTCCTGTTTGGACTGGGTGCTCCTCGCTCCCTCTCTCCGCGCCTCCAACGGCCCTTCTCCTCCCGCTTCAGAAATTAACTATTTATCCCCTTCTGCACAAGCAAGTCCGTGTCAGGGTTCCTCAGACCGCACAGGACACTCCAGCAGGAACCCCAACAGCCCCCTCCCCGCGGCAGGATTTCAGCAGCCCTCCCCCGGGGTGGGCGCTTCTGGGCCGACTGCAAAGAGCACCAGGGGAGCACAGGAGGCCTCACAGAGCGAGTCCCCGAGGCCCGAGTCTGGGATGGAGGCCGCTGAGCGGCGGCGGGAGGCGGCCTGCCCTGGCCCGTCCCCTCTGTCCCCCACCCCACGCCCACGCCACTTACGACCCGGAAGGCGTCGCTGCTGTTGTAGGACCAGGTGAAGGCCAGGTTGTAGAAGCCGATGCAGCTGGTGAAGGTGCAGGGCAGCAGGACCTCCGAGCCGTTGACGGCGTAGATGGTGGCGGCCTTCCCCACGGACACCTCCAGCGCCAGGGCCGTGGGCAGCAGGAGGAGGCCTGTGGGGGCACCACCCCTTAGCCACAGCCCTCCCGCCCGCCTGAGGCTGTGGATGCGCACTGACCTATGAACCTGGAGGTCAGGGCTCGATCCCCAGGAGGGGGCGTGCAGGAGGCAGCCCATCAACGATTCTCTCTCATCGCCGATGTTTCTCTCTCCCTCTAGGCCCTTCCCCTCTGAGGTCAATTGCAATATATTTTAAAAATAAACAAACCAAAGGCCTCGAGGCTGGAGCTCAGGGAGGGCCCGGGAAGGGGGTGGCTCGGCCAGGCAGGGAGCAGTCACCCTCGGCGTGAACTTCAGGAAGACGGTTCTCTTGACTTCCATGGTCACCGCCTGGGCCTTCTCCGTCCCACCCCTGGCCTGGCGGGATTGAAGGCGGGACCGGTGGCATTCTGAGTGACCACTAGGGGTCACCCCAACCTAGGAAACGCGGCCCGCCCGGTGCTGAGCCTGAGCCTGCATGTCCTGGGCACAGTCTGAAAACGCCCTCCTGTCCCCCCTCCCCCCCCTCCCCCCACGTGCCACAGCAATCTCCCCCAGAACAGCCGCTGTTTCTGCCCTTGCGGCTAAGAAAGGAAAATGCAGTCCAGCCCCGGACCCTGTCGCACCGGAGCCCGGAGCCCCCAGGGCCAGGATGGAGCGGGTGGGCTTGGGAACGGTGGTCCCCGGCAGGGCAGCAGCCAGCAGAGCGGCCACAGCGAGCAGCTCAGGGAGAGCCGGGCTGAGCGCTGGGCGGGCGGCGTCTGGACCATCAGACCATCCGGATCACGCAAGAGGGATGGTGCACAGCGGCACTGGCCTCTGACCTCTCCTGAGCAGGGGTCCCCAACCCCCCAGCCCCACTCTGACCTCCACCCCTCCTCCTCCACACCCACTTACCAGCACATCCATCCCACCCGGCCTTGGGGACAGGGGGCCGGCCCTCCTGTCAGCCTGCAAAGTCCTGGAGGAACCCCACTGTGCATCGAGGTGGGAGGAGGGGTTGGCCCCAGATCAGATGGTCTTTGGAGTGAGGAGGGTGCGGACTCAGGGGCCTCCTCAGGCTCCCGGTGACTCCCGAGAGCACTCTGTCCCGGACCCCAATCCTCGCCCAGTGTGCGCGTGAGCCGTCTCATGGCATTCTCGCCTCGCCCCGTGAGCTGGTGCTAGAATCACAGCTCACAGGCGGGAAAGGAGGCTCAGAGGAGCCACGTGCCTCGCCTTACGACCTCCAGGGGTCAGACTCCGGTCTCCTGGGCAGCTGAGCGCAGCCGTCTGTCCCGGTCTCCCCGGCACCTCCTCCCCGACTCAGCCACCCGGACCTCCAGCCTGGGTCCCACGATGTCAAAGCCGAAGGGCCGGACAGTGTGAATCCCACTGCTTCCCTCAGACAGACACCACGCCCAGACCAAGGAGGCGTGGCTCAGCGGCCGGGCCAGCGGCTGGGCCCATGGGGGCCCTCAGCCCAGGCGGCTCCAGCCCTGCAGGAGCACCCAGGGCAGGATGTCCCCCAGGGCGGGAGTCCCCCAGGGCGGGATGTCCCTCAGGGCGGGATGTCCCTCAGGGAGGGAGTCCCCCAGGGAGGGATGTCCCCCAGGGCGGGATGTCCCCCAGGGAGGGATGTCCCCCAGGGCGGGATGTCCCCCAGGGCGGGATGTCCCTCAGGGCGGGATGTCCCTCAGGGGCGGGATGTCCTCCAGGGTGGGATGTAACCCAGGGCGGGATGTCCGCCAGGGCGGGATGTCCCCCAGGGCGGGATGTCCCTCAGGGGCGGGATGTCCCCCAGGGCGGGATGTCCCCCAGGGCGGGATGTCCCCCAGGGCGGGAGTCCCCCAGGGGGGGATGTCCCCCAGGGCGGGATGTCCCCCAGGGCGGGATGTCCCTCAGGGGCGGGAGTCCCCCAGGGAGGGATGTCCCCCAGGGCGGGATGTCCCCCAGGGCGGGATGTCCCCCAGGGCGGGATGTCCGCCAGGGCGGGATGTCCCTCAGGGGTGGGATGTCCCCCAGGGCGGGAGTCCCCCAGGGGCGGGATGTCCCCCAGGGCGGGAGTCCCCCAGGGCGGGAGTCCCCCAGGGCGGGATGTCCCTCAGGGGTGGGATGTCCCCCAGGGCGGGATGTCCCCCAGGGCGGGATGTCCCCCAGGGCGGGATGTCCCTCAGGGGTGGGATGTCCCCCAGGGCGGGAGTCCCCCAGGGGCGGGATGTCCCCCAGGGCGGGAGTCCCCCAGGGCGGGAGTCCCCCAGGGCGGGATGTCCCTCAGGGGTGGGATGTCCCCAAGGGCGGGATGTCCCCCAGGGCGGGATGTCCCTCAGGGGTGGGATGTCCTCCAGGGCGGGAGTCCCCCAGGGTGGGATGTCCCCCAGGGCGGGATGTCCCCCAGGGCGGGAGTCCCCCAGGGCGGGATGTCCCCCAGGGCGGGAGGTCCCCCAGGGCGGGAGTCCCTCAGGGCAGGATGTCCCCCAGGGCGGGATGTCCCCCAGGGCGGGATGTCCCCCAGGGCGGGATGTCCCCCATGGCGGGAGTCCCCCAGGGCGGGAGTCCCCCAGGGCGGGAGTCCCTCAGGGAGGGATGTCCCTCAGGGCGGGAGTCCCCCAGGGAGGGATGTCCCCCAGGGCGGGATGTCCCCCAGGGAGGGATGTCCCCCAGGGCGGGATGTCCCCCAGGGCGGGATGTCCCTCAGGGCGGGATGTCCCTCAGGGAGGGAGTCCCCCAGGGAGGGATGTCCCCCAGGGCGGGATGTCCCTCAGGGCGGGATGTCCTCCAGGGCGGGAGTCCCCAGGGAGGGATGTCCCCAGGGCGGGATGTCCCCCAGGGAGGGATGTCCCCCAGGGCGGGATGTCCTCCAGGGCGGGATGTCCCTCAGGGCGGGATGTCCCTCAGGGAGGGAGTCCCCCAGGGAGGGATGTCCCCCAGGGCGGGATGTCCCCCAGGGCGGGATGTCCCTCAGGGCGGGATGTCCTCCAGGGCGGGAGTCCCCCAGGGAGGGATGTCCCCCAGGGCGGGATGTCCCCCAGGGCGGGATGTCCCTCAGGGGCGGGAGTCCCCCAGGGAGGGATGTCCCCCAGGGCGGGATGTCCCCCAGGGAGGGATGTCCCCCAGGGCGGGATGTCCCCCAGGGCGGGATGTCCCCCAGGGCGGGATGTCCCTCAGGGGTGGGATGTCCCCCAGGGCGGGAGTCCCCCAGGGGCGGGATGTCCCCCAGGGCGGGAGTCCCCCAGGGCGGGAGTCCCCCAGGGCGGGATGTCCCTCAGGGGTGGGATGTCCTCCAGGGCGGGAGTCCCCCAGGGCGGGATGTCCCCCAGGGCGGGATGTCCCTCAGGGGTGGGATGTCCTCCAGGGCGGGAGTCCCCCAGGGCGGGATGTCCCCCAGGGCGGGATGTCCCCCAGGGTGGGATGTCCCTCAGGGGTGGGATGTCCCCCAGGTTGGGGCGGTCCCCGCGGTGTGAGGAAAGCACGGAGGTTGTTTGGAGGAAGGGTTCGGACGTGAAATGAGCACAGGCTGGACTTCATTCGGTTCCGCCCGGACGGTAGACGTGAGCCGCAGCCGCCGCCACGTCTGCTTGGCCTTCCCGCCGGTCGTCACCAGCCGGAGAGCTAACCGGCCTGGTGGCTGCTTCCCCCGGTTAGGCTGGGCCAGGACCCACTGCCCGGTCTGTCCTGGACGGCTTTTCCAACCATTGCAACTACCAGCAGCCTCCGCTTTCCTTAAACGCACTGCACAACCTCTCCCCTCCCGGTCCCGCCACCAACCTCGGCCAGAGAGCCCAGCAGCGTGCAGTGGTCACAGAGAGAGTACGATGGCCCTGGCCAGTCCGCTCAGTGGACAGAGCACTGGCCTGGACTGAAGGCTCCCGGATCCATTCTGGTCAAGGGCACGCCCCTGGGTTGCAGGCTCCTCCCTGGGCCCTGGTCAGAGCTTGTGCGGGAGGCAACCAGTGGATGTCTCCCTCACATCCATGTTTCTCTCCCTCTTTTCCTCTCCCGCTCTCCCTAAACATTAATGGGAAAATATCCTCGGGCGAGGATTAACCAAAAAAAAATTTTTAAGTCCATCAAACTTAAAATCCGTGCCACGCATCAATAAACAAGAAGAGGAATGTGTCGCTGGCCTTGCCCTTTCTCCCACTCCTCGCAAGGAAGGGCCCTTCCAGTCTGCCCGCCTTCCCTCCGCCTGGCGTGGTCAGCGCAGAGGGCTTCCTCCCGCCCTGCCCACAGCGAGCTGACACTGCGCACCTGACCACGGGGACCGGAGGGACCAGGGAGCCCTCCCGGGAGAGCACAGCCTGCGGCCGCCCCGGCTCCCCAGCTTCCCGGCCTCTCGGCTTCTGAAGACAGAGACTCTCCCTCCAGCGCGGGCAGCACCGGCCACTGCTGCCGCCACTGTTGCCGCTGCTGCTGCTGCCGCCGGCTCTGTGCGTCCTGCCTTAGGCCGGCTCGGAGCTCCAGCGAACCGAGCAGAGCAAGCCCGTGTGCATGGTCAGCGCTGGACACCGGGTCCATGCCCCGCCTCTCACGAGCGCCTCTCCCAGCAGCACTGGCTGCCGGACAGGACGGCTGAGCACTCGCGGGCGACAGGCTCTCTGGCCTCACACATGTGATGTGCTGGCTGGGGTCGCCCCGTAGGCGGTCAGGTGGTCTGCTCGCGGCCACGGAGACAGGGCCACGGCCACAGCACCAGGAGCATCAGCCACAGCACCACGGGCCTCCCTCACGTTGTGAAAGAGCAGGGCTGCCCGCCAGGGCTCCAGATGGTGCTTTTCTTTTGGTTAATCCTCACCGAGGACATTTCCCATTGGTTCAGGGAGAGCGGAAGAGAGAGGGACGGAGAGAAACGTCGATGTGAGAGACACTGATTGGTTGCCTCCTGCACAAGCCCGGACCAGGGCCTGGGCAGGGGAGAATCCTGCAACTGAGGTCCGTGCCCTTGACTGGAATCGACACTACTGCCCACTGAGCAGCAGCGGCCAGGGCCTGAGGGGTTATTCAGTGAGCCCTCCCCGAGCCCCCGGAGGCCGGT